GGGAGCCCAATGTGGGGCTCGATCCCAGGACCCTGGGATCATGACCTGAGCCGAAGGCAGACACTTAACTGACTGAGCCACCCAGGTGCCCCACTGCTATTACCTTCTAAATGGAGGTCAGATCTCACTGACCCTGACTCATCTAAATGTGCATCAATCTCAGGGTCTGACTCCTCTGCCTGTAAATCACATGCCACAATGCTACCAAATTCCTCCCTAAACCCTAAATGTGCTCCTCTTGTGCCTTTGCCTAAAATCTTCAAGTGGTACCCTGACATCTTCAGGATAAGGTCTAAGCTTCTAAGCATAGTACACAACAGACCTTAAAATCTGGCCCATCCTACCTAATTTCTTGCTTACCCCAAAACTATGGTTTTTCTCTTCCTTCCCTCCCTCCCTTCCTTCCTTCCTTCCAAAAATATTAATGACACACTATTTTAGATCCTTAGCATACGTGAATGAACAGAAAGATCCTTGTCTTTGTGAGCTTCATGTTCTCGTGGTAGACAGGCAGATCGATAGAGAGGCGTACAGATGATGTAGGTAGCGAAATGACAGACAGGTAGATGGACAGATGATGGGTAGGTAGGTAGGAAGATGGATGACTGACAGCGTTGGAGGTGATAACTGCAATGGACATACATGAATCAGAAGGGGAAGCGTAGGGATTGTGCGAGGTGACACTGTGTCGTACCATTTTAACTGGGTGGTCAGAGAAGGCTCACGAAAACAGTAACCCCTGAGCAGAGACCTGATGGAAAGGTAACAAGCAATGTATGTATCTGAGGGAAGAACATTCTAGGCAGCAGCAGCTGAGAACATAAAGGCCCCATAGCAATTACATGCTTGAGAAACATCAAGAAAACCAGCGTGGTTGGAATAATGGGAAGCCAGACCATGGACATGGTAGATGCGAATCTTACTCCGAGAGCAGCAGAAACTGCTGGAATACGAGGAGTGTCACCAGCTAACCCATGTTTGGGTCACTGGTCTGGCTCTTCCTTTGGACTGTGAGCTCCTTAGCCCAAAGCAGGCAGAGCTCCAAGCTCATCCCCGGGTCTGGGGTTCTAACTGGAAAGACAGACCCCAAGTGCAGCAGGTGTTCCTGTGTCTGCTGCCCCATGGGGATGCTACCTGATGTGAACAGAGATTCTGAAGTAGGCTCCAGGTGGGCTGGACTGAGACAGTTGCGGTTTTCTTCTAAGAGGGCATTGCTGCAGGTTCTCGTACTCTCCTTCACCACCCTCCACCCACACTTCTCTCCCACATCTACTCCTCCACTCTCCAAGATGGGAGGCAGCCTGCAAGGGTGAATGGAGATGCATCTGAGGCCAAGACAGCACCGTTTCCTACTTTGTTAACAGCTCTCAGACTTTTACTTGAAAGAAAAATGGTGAGGCAACTAGCACCTGGTCTATCTCCTAAAACAGCCAGGAGGATTTGGAGAATATGCCTTAGCAAAGGCCAGGAAAACATCAGCGTTTATCAGCCCCAACCCTCATCATTAGGAAAGACAGGTAATGGAGGAAACAGACTGTGCTAGGTCTTAATTTCCATCTAAATTTTTAAAAAATTTAACACAGAGGGCGCCTGGGTGGCTCAGTCGGTTAAGTGACTGCCTTGGCTCAGGTCCTGGGATCGAGCCCCACATCGGGCTCCCTGCTCTGCGGGGAGCCTGCTTCTCCCTCTCCCACTCCCCCTGTGTTCCCTCTCTCGCTGTGTCTCTGTCAAATAAATAAATAAAATCTTTAAAAAAAAATTTAACACAGAAAGAGCTTAGAACAAGACACAATTACAAACTTCTATGTGGGAAGAAGTCAGATAATTGAGCCAGACAAAGCTAGATTTGCATCCTGTTTTGATGAGGTACTCACTGTGTTACTGTTAACAACCACACACCTCCCTGAACTTTGTTTCTTATCTATAAAATGGAAAAAACATCACCTGACTGGTTTCTGTGAGAACTGAAGATACTGATGATCGTACATGTGTGTCTACGTGTGTGTGCCTGCATGTCTGAATGTGTCTACATGTTTGTACATCTACATATATCTGTGTGTTGGTGTCCACACGTGTGTCTACATGTGCATGTCTACCTGTGTCTGCATGTCCGTGTATCTAGGTCCACATATGTATCTATATGTGTCTACACGTGTGTCTCTGTGTGTGCTCTGCATACCTATGTATATATCTACAGGCATGTGTCTGTGTCCACATGTGTATCCACATATGTGTCTACCATACAGGGGGCTGTGTGTGCATGGACATGTGTTTACATGTGTGTCTACTGTACACGTGACTTTGTATCTGTCTGCATGTGTCACTACCTGTGTGTCTACTGTATGTGTGCTTCTGTATGTCTGCATGTGTCTGTACTTGCATCTGCTGTATGCGTGACTACGTGTGTACATACATAAAACACTAACATGGTAGTATCCGGACAAGTGAGGTAATTGAAGCATTTCACAGTAAGTTGACAGCACCTGTGTGCATGCCTCTACCCGCCTAACTATTTGAAAGAGGCCTCTGAGACACCTGAATGAGGATGGGCTCCTGAGACATGCTGGGTGTTCCAGTATCTCTGGAAAACAGAAGGTGGAGTTGAGAACAAGCTCCTGCTTCATTCCATCCCCACACTGTCCCCACATCAAGGCATCTGGGGGGCTGGGGGGGCCAAGGGGCAGCACTCAGCCTTCACTCTCATTCCCCAGATGATGACCCTGATGCTGTAAGGTCTGCCCTACCCCTCCCTCCCTCCTAGGAAGGAGCCCAGCCAGGAAGTCAGGCAGACGGCTCCTTACTGGAAAGGGTGCGGGTTTTGTCTTGTCACCCTGCTAATGGAAGGAGCCATGAAACAGAACCAAGAGTATGGTCGATCCGCCCAGCCCTGGTGTCAACTGCCTGAGCTGCCTCATCCCACAGCCTCTGCTTCCTCTTCTGCAACACGAAGGAGCAGTAAGTGCTTCACCTGTTTGTTGTAAAAACCAAGTGGGATAGTACTTGTGAAAGTGCTCTGCAAAATATAAAGTGAAGTGTTAATCTTTTGTCATCATTAGCAATCCACATCCACCCTGAACTGAAGTCCCAGCAACAACACTTACTGATGATTTTCCTTAAAAACTGTAGTTAGGGAAGCAGGAAAAAGCAACTTTAATGTAGATGTTGGAAAAAAATCTCTCAAAATGTAATTAAAATATTAATCACCATACAAGTTTTCTGATGAGAGAAATTAATAGAATGAAATTAATGATAGAAATGTAAGCCAACCAAACCTGGGTGATGGCTACAATAGAACAAAGTTACCAAGACAGCATTCTTGTACACAGCACCATAAAACACAAAGGTAAGAAAAAACATGGGAAAGTTTAAGGATTTTCTTTTTTAAAAACTACTTGAAAACAGAAATCCTGGGGTTAAAAGAGAAGGAAAAAAATTATACTAGCGACCAAGAAAATACAAAGTAAAACCAAACTGCTGAATAGTAACACCTAAAAAAAAGCAAAATTTGGCTCATGAGAGATTACTGTTCAATTGTTATGAAATTCTAAATATCAGACACTATCTTTAAAAATGTGAAAAGAGTTACTGTTTACTGAGTTTTAATGTGTACCACTGAGGGCATATTTGTTTAGGAGGCAGGATGTCATTACCTGTGATCACACAACCAGCCAAAGGACATTCAAACGTACCACACTCCTGCCTCACACCCACGCAGCTGCTGCAGACATGCACCTGCCCGTCCACTTCACCATCACCATCACAGACCGGGGGATCAGTGACCTCACGACCACTTGGTGCCTTACCTGACCGATAGCGCTCATCTCGTGACCCTGAGGACCTTCGGCGGTGATAGCGAGTGGAAGAAGCAGGAGTGACGGGAGCCCGGCGCTCGGGAGGCAATGCTTGATCCACCCCTGGGTTAAGGGAAACAGCAAAGTAAGGTAAGGCTTTACTTGGCAGCCAGAGTTCATTTGGTAAAATCATTTGGTAGAATGAAGCCCTGACTCACTGCATGCCCACAGCCAAGCTAGAGCATGCAAGGGCGTGGACGGGGGCCAGGGGACGTCATGGACACTGAACAGGAAAGGGAGAAGTGTCCCAGGCAGGGGAAGACTCACGCCCGACACTACCCTTCAGAGACCCCCGCACAGGCTCCCTTATATCACACACATCTAGAACAGTCATAAGAAAAATGGAGCCCAAAGAATCAAGTTATGATCTTCTTTATATAACAAACATATAGAAAGGGCTATGTTCATTCTTGAGGAAATTTAAAATTACATTTACCATTAAGGTTACCTTTACAATAAATCTTATAGGATATCTTAACGCTACAATTCAGGTAACCAGGACTGTGCATGAATGTTCATCTTTGTTCATTCAAAATTTCTAACTCTGAATCTTACTCCCCTTGATGCAAAATAACTGAAAAATTTCTATTTCCATATGGCCATGACGAATTACCTGAAAGGATAAAACGGTCAGATAAAACTAATTTGACGGGTATTTGTCAAAAGCTGACCTAGATCTGGCGATCACGATACCAATTACCCTTGGGAACTTGGGCAGCAGGAAGCACCATCTCCATAAAACTAAGTAAGTACAGCAGGAAAGGTTTCATCATTACGGTGCAGAAGTAAAGAAATTCAGAGCACTGGGCATCAAACATTAACTGCTGAGTCTTCAGAAAAGGACCAGCAATACTTGGTAGAGAAAGTAAACCAGTGATGGCTATTTTAACAGAAACTGTTTAGGTTTTCTGTGATGGCCCCATGAGGGTTATTTATATCAGGGGTGTAATTTTTCTCTTGTGCTGGTGATTTCTACACCTCAATTCTTTTTTTTTTTTTTTTTTAAGTAGGCTCCATGCTCAACGTGAGGCTCAAACTCACAACCCTGAGATCAACAGTTGCACACTCCACTGACTGAGCCAGCCAGGCATCCCGCTGCACCTCAGCTCCTGCTGGCATATTTGTGGTTAATGACACGATAGGTTAACTAACTGCAGATTAACTGCCTTAGAATTGTGCAGGAGACAGCCACGCCACAGTCACGCGGCGAGCTCCTGCAAGTGCTTCATCCAGTAGGCACATCAACATACGTCGTTAAACTTCTTGGTGACACAGCAGCTCACTGCTGCCAAACCCTGTCCAGTTACAGTCTGCAAATGATCTTTAAAAAAAACTACTCTATTTCATCAAACAGATGCACAGAATTTATAAAATCAAGTACTATTAAGTCATAATGACAAGTGGTGGTCATTTGGTGTTTACATCCGTGTTTGTAAACATGAGCTTATGATCCCTCTTAATTGCCCATTTTAGACAACACATGACTGCTTTACAGAAGTATGGCCCTCACTGTACCACGGTTAGATCATGAGTCAGTACTGTGCCATGAACACACTTCTATCTTAGACTTTTTTATTATTCCTGGGTTAATATTTGCATCTTTTGGTTCCATCATCTTGGTTTTCAATGGACCTCTTGCTAATTCCTTCAAAATATCCCAACAGAACTGAAACCCTTTCCAACACTTTCTCCCCCATGGGCAATCACCAACAACTTGGGGACAGTCTTTTAGTTTGGTATTCTTTCTCCCTGAAGACCCTCCTCGTGGATCCCCTCCTGCTCTAATCCGGGCTGGCTGGTCCAGACCTGCTTTACAACCACCACAGAGCATCCCTTCCTCCTGGAACTTGCTTTTGCCTAGACATCTAAGCAAAATTACAAATAAATTTGAAATTTGGAAAATGTGTAAAAATCGATTTATTTGAAAGTTATGTGCATTCATGGCTTCTCATGCCAATTATTGGTGAGAAGTCAAATGTCATTCTGATGGTATACTGTTCATGAAAAATCTGTTTATTGTTTTCTTTTCTCCTCTGTCAACTTGCACAATTTTTTCTTTACTCCCACCAAAGGAGCTGCGAGTCTGTCTTCCTCCTGTGGTGGGGTTATCACCAGACCTACTGCCAGCAAGCAGATGTTTTACCTGAGCTATTGCATTTACCCGAAGAAGAGACCTCCGCTCTCCTGTCTTGTGAATCATTCGGGGCTGGAGCTGTTCTTATTCTCCAGGGCACATGCTCGGATTCAGAGAACCCCAAATCCCGAGGTTCTCAGGTCCATTTCTCCAGAGAACAAACATCTCTGGGGGAGTGGGGAAGACGTGGGTCACCTGCTTCCTAGATGCCAAGCCTCATCCTCTCCCTCTGGTGCCCATGAAAGCAGTACCATCTGCTACACGTTGCATCCCCATCATCGACCCCGATACCACAAAAACTTGCCACTGTTTCTCCCATCTGTCTGTCCCGTGGATTGACACTTCATCCACTTACAGACACATCTTGGTGCGGTTCTGGGAAGAAGAGGAGCTAAATGTGCACATTCAAGCTGCCAAGGTCTAACAGATTTATACACACAGTTAAGTCCAGCTTTCCCTCTCAGTCCTGCTACAGACCTCGGGAATTCAAGTACACTTCCCGGAATTCCATTAACCTTAACCCCGCCTGGGTCCCCTGTGGCCGTGCACCTCTGGGAAACGCAGGCGCAGCACACAGACCAGGGACCTGCACGCCTGTCCTCAGCTAATTTTGCACACAAACACTGGACATTTACCTTCATAGGCTGAAGTACACAGCTTACAACACGAGTTTTAAGAGAAATGAGTTAACTAACAAAAGGAGAATACCTTCAACAGCTCACTGGCAACAGGGCATTTTAAAAAGCTAAAATATTGGTGTGCACATTTCTGTCATTAATTTTTATCTGTCCTCACTGTGAATGAAATCTGAAGTTGCTTAAAGTATGTTCTGACATGGAAAAGCCCTCCGTCAAATATGCAGCAACTCCAGATTAGAATTTCCACCTGTCTGCACAGGGGGACCCTGACGTAATGAGTGAGGTGTCCTTCCCGCTGGGTGTGAGGTGGCATGCACACACGCATCTTTACTAGAACACACAGAACTCAGGATGCAGGGCACCGAGGGCCCAGGCGCCCGCCACGACTGAAAACCAGCTCTCGGGACCACTGGAATGTGGGCAACAGAATGTGGGGACCAGGTCTGAGCGAGGACACTGGAAGGCCAGGGGTCTCGAGGGAGGTGGGGGAGCCCTCCAAAACCACATGAAGCCAGCACGCAAAGATTAATCCTTCTCAGGCAAACGTGTGGCGGGGATGGAGAGTGGCTCTCCGTCCCACGCTTACAAAGCACCACGTGGCAGACAGAGACTCAGCTTCGGGTCCCACGTAAATGGAGGGACAGGGCACCAGGGACACGTCGGGCTCTGGAGCCTAGCTACCCTGAGCCTCAGTTTCCCGTCTGTACACAGCTCTGCCATTCTAAGTAGCATCTGAATGTTCACGGTAGCTGCCCCTTCCCTTGAGACGGGCGCCCCCTCCCGGTGCTCCCAGGTGCGCTGGGGGCTCGGTCCTTGGGGCAGAAGTCACGGGCTGCTGGGCTCTGCATGCTGGGCAGTAACACTGTCACAAGGGCAAGTCTACCTGGTCCCTGGAAGAGAAGGGGCCTCGTGATCTCGCTGCCAAATGACTCGTCCCCCGGTGACCTTCCCAGGACAAGACTGCTGCCCAGGAACGAAATCGGGGCAGCTAACAGCTGCGAGGTCGGCGGACAACGAGTGCTCCTCGGATTCTCACCCGGGAGCCAGGATGTCTGTCTGCTCATCCCCTCCCTGGGCAATGCTGCCCCGGCCCACGGGAGGACCTTGGGGAGGGCTCCTGAACCAACAAGGCTGGTCTTCATGGCATGAGCAGTGCCTTGCAAGGCTCCCACCAGGCGTCAGTTCAAACATGGCCTTCAGTGAGATTTCTCTTTCCCTCAAGAACCGCAAAGGGGCTTGAGAGGAAGGAACCCGTGGAGCCCAAGAGGAAAGAGGAAGGTGGCCAGGCAGGGAGACAGTAACCAAGCCCAGGACCCCAGCCCTCTGCCAGTGACGTCCTCAGACAGCCACACGCGAGTCCGTCCCAAATGCTTCCAACACATGAGGAAGAAAGGACTCTGCAAAGGAAATCCCTAACAACACTGTGCTGTCCCCTGAGCAACCCACCAATTCCAGTGCCAGACACTGGAAACCACAATAGTCCTCACATTCACTCAGGAATGTGGCCACAGGGGCTCTGCGGCTCTGACATGCTGTCTGCTTTGGGCCAGGACACCTGCCGTGTAGACCACCTGGCTCATCCGGGTGTCAAATGTTCTAGAAAACATCAAGACTTCTAAATTCAGATAGCAAGGGAAATACATGAGAACGCCGTGGTTCTCCACATAGTTTCAAAAGAAATCATGAAGGATTTGTGGAAGATGACTTCAGTAAAAATGCATATGGGATACAAAACTAGAAGACCTTGATCCAAATTCTGGTCTTATTCTTAGTCCGTGTGGAACTGGGCAAATGTCTCAGCTGCTACCTCAGCTTCCGTGTACGTTGGGGAGTAGACATGGACACGGTCACGTGTGAATGATGTTCCCTCAGGCCCTTGCTGGAACCCAAGCCTCTCTGGTCCTGCCCCTCGCATTCAGTGCCCGTGGATCCCAGGGCCCAGCAGGAACTCACAGCCACCCCAGGGCTCCTACACACGTGGATCCAGCTTCAGGAACCTGGTGAAATTGCGGAGGGCTTTTCCAAGTCTACACAAAAACGATTTCTGAATTGTCCCCTTCTCTTCTAGTACCTAATTAACTCACATAGCGGCACTTACTTCTAAAATAAGTTCAATCAAGCCTTTGCAGAAGATACGCAGTACCGTTGTTACGTAAGATGAGAAACTTACTACGTTTGCTCTGTATGGACTCAGAGGAGAACACAGCACAGAAAGAAATTCCATCACCTCCACAGCTGCCCCAACCGTCAGCCTGATTCTCGTTTCTGCCTCTCATAACCGAAGTTCTTGCTGAAAATCAGTACGAATTTGCTAACCATATTCCTGTCGATATACTGTAGTTTGATTAGAGACTCATTTTGTGGAAAAGTGCAGAAGATCTGGAACTTTAGAGAGCTTGACGTGCACCCAACGCACGCTCTTTGCTCACTGAGTAACAACAGAAGCTCAGAAGGGAATGAGTACACGAGGTCAGGAGCGGGGCTGCAAATGTCTGCGTTTTTCAGATGCCCACACGAGCCAGTTCCACAGCAGACATCTTTCTCGCTGCCCAGGTGGACACTCAGACCCCACTCCCGGCTCTGCTCAGGCTGCAGAAGCTTGCACGGGAGGAGGCTTCTCGGCTCCCATGACCCCTGGTATGGGGAAGCAGGAACTTGGCAGGTAGGACACCACTAAGAATAACGGGAAATCCATCTGACCAAACCCACAGCTGCGTGTGATAGAACAAGAGCTCGGCCAAGGAGAGAAGCAAACTGTGCACCGAGATCACGACTGTGGGTAGCTCACCTAGGACACGGGCAGTTCACCTCTTGCTGAGGAAGGCTCAGCTCCTACAGCAAGTCCATCTGGAAAAGATTCACGCCAAGTCACAGACTGGCAACCTGATTTAAAGACCTGTTTTCTCTTCCGGGGTTTAAACTTGCACCTGACACACCGTCCATCATGAACAGACAGCATGGCATGACCCCTCAGTGGGGGTGGTCCCCAAGGAGCCTGTCCCTCAAGCCCTGGCGGGGATGGGCTAACGTTGCTTCCGGGCCCACGACTGCACTCTGGGAGACCCTAACTCCTGCTGCAGAATGAAGACACGGAGCCAGTGTGCAGCGGGCACCGGAGGAGCAGAGACCTGGCCAGGGGCAGCTCAGGAGGCCATGGCACCCACACACTTTCTTCTCTGAGTCTCGAACAGCACCTGACTGCAGTCTGCATCCTTAAACACAAGACAAGAACATGCCTCATCATCCGGGAGACCAGAAAGGGCACAATTCACAAGCTCTGAACTCTGCCCCTTGAAGGAGACTCCTTCACAAACCTGGGGACCCAGCAGGAGCCTCGGTGGCTGGGCTTCAGATGCTGCCGCCTCCATATGGGCCTGTCCCAGGAAAAACGATGTCAGGACAGTGTGTCTGCACTTAGAGCACCAAACACCGGGGATGCTGAGCTGAAATCCAGGATTAATGATCATAAAATACAATTCAGTTGACTAGAATGTGCAGAGGCCCCAAATCGTGTTCTCCTTTAACCTCTCAGATATGGAAACAGTGAGGAGCACGATGTGTCACCATCTACAAGTATCCAGATCGGAAATCAAAACAAAGCTGTGCTCACAGCGGAGATGCCTCCAGCACCAAGAGGTCTGTCTGCCTGGATGCTTGGGGCATCACACAGAGCTGAGCACCACGCAGACACGCTGGCTCGGCCCTCAGCGGGGCCGGCTCTGAGTGCTCCCTGCTCCACCAGAGCCCGTGAGCACCAGCACCTGCTGGACACACTGGCCTGGTGCCCACGTGGGCGCTGTGGCCAGGAGGACGCAGGGCAGGGCCCTACCTGCCACCAGCAGGGATTTGACAGGGTGTCCACAGCCCAGCAGCCGGTCTGTAACGTGCAGACGGTTACTGGTTCATCCTTCCGCAAATATCTGAAAGCGCCTACCTCCTCAGGGAGAAGTGGGATGTTGTGAGGAGCGGGGCCAGAGGGCCTGTCCTAACCCCAGGGATCCTTGCAGAGGTGACATGGGAGCTGGGCCTCGAACAATGCACTGGTGCAGAGAGGGCAAGCAGGTGCAGGAGGCCACCCTTGGAAACAGAGCACGGGACCGTCCAGCAGCAGGAAGGCCCACGGAGCTGAAGAGGGGCCAGGGCTTCTGTGTGCAAAACCTTCTGACGCAGACTCGGCTACACTCTGCGCAGGGCCCTCGGTGTCCTTCAGCAGGAGCAAACGCGGTCAATTCACCCTCACCAAGAGGTCCCTCCACCGAGGAGGCTGTTCACGCACATCTCATGGCCAATTCCCGGGGAGCAGGAAGAGAGCAGACAGACTTGCCCTCTGGTCTCATGAGTGGAATCCACCAAGATTACTGTAACTATACAGTCATGGGAAATCCTTGAACACAATGCCACCTGGCCGTTGACAGAAAAGCAAGATGGGCACACATGGGACCGGCCCTACAGAAACCACCCTCCACGGAGAAACATGCACAGAGTCACGGGGAAAGTCAATCTCCTGACATACATGCTGTGAGAAACAGGGACTCTGTTTGGTCCTGGGAACTCTATTTCAGTAACAGTGGAATTTGACGGCATGACCTTGTCCCAGAAGCAGCAGGGACTTGGTTGTCGAAGCCAGCTCTGGTGCTCAGATGTGCCCACAGAGACTGGCAGCACGTGGGTTTGTGTTCTGTTTTTAAAGTTTTATCAGGTTTGGGGATTAATGAAAGAGACACTAGAACCAGGACCCAATGGGTCAGTCTTAAGTAATATTTTCTCCTTGAAAATGATTTTTAGTGTATTTTCCTGACTCCTTCTTTCCTTTCTAGCTCCTGGCACAGTTTTTCTCCTCTAGATTTAGGGAAGCACTCAACATTGCGCTCCCCAAAGACAACGTATCTTCTGGGGCACCTGGTACCACCAGGTGTCCAGAGAGGAAAACCAGGAGACAGATTGCTTCCGCAGCATGTTCCCTGGGATGGACTAACGCCCGGGACTCTGACCCGAGTGCTCACAAACGCCCATACAAGCCACTCTAATTCAGAACTGTGTGTCCCAAACGACATCTTAGAAATGTTTTTAGAATACTTTCTAGAAGTGTTAATATTTTCTCTGACAAATAAAAATAATGTTAAAAAAAAAAAAAAGGTTCACAAAACACAAACGCCCTTAGAGGAACGTGCTCAGCAGGATAAGGTGACTGACTACACACCAGACGCTTCTCCTGAGATCCTAGCCCCAAAGCGTCACTTCTCAGACTGGGCACGTCAAGAAAGCAAGCTCGGACTCAGAACCCTCTGCTCTCGTGCTACTTCCCCAGAGTTCTACAGAATGAACGACCGTTCACACGATTTCTCAGAAATAATGACTAGCAGTGAAAACTGCAAAACTGGCTGGAATCTGCTCTCCTTAGTCTAGAACCATGGGGAACCCGCCTTCCCTTCCTGGGGGGCCCGGGGGGTGGGGAACGGGACACAAGGCCCCCAGAGCAGCATCTCCAAGCAGGCTGCCTCCTCCTCACGTCTCAGTCAGGTGTGGGAGGCTCCTGTGAACTGTGAAGTGGACCCCACGGCTCACGCCCGACTCCACTGGCCCCTCACCCACCTGCCCCTCCCCGTCAGGGGCCCAGAGAAGAGGGACTGGAGCCCCAGCAGAGGCCTCGTCTGAGACCCTAAGGCCGAGGCAACATTAAACATCTCTTTTTATTTCTTCATGATTTTCAAATAATGGCCTTTATTTGGGATAAATCCCTAAAGATAGACCTAAAGCATACCAATGCTCATTTTCTTGTACTAAAAGATGGATTGAACTCATTCTTTGAGCTTCTTATATTCAAAAGATTGCCCATGAAAGTAACCGTGGTCTCCGAATGGGCCCATCACCTCTGAGAATACACTGTATAATCACTGGCTCGATTTTTCTACTTCCCTTTGGAAACAGGATCATGCTGCCGTGTGGACCTCGCTCTCTAGCAGAGCTCAGGGCCACGGCGGCCTGATACTCCCTCGAGGAGACCAGACCCCCACAGTAGCGGAAGACCAACCATTGCAACAAGAATTTTAGGGTTTGTCATGCAATCTTCTTTCTCAAGTGTTTCTAAGTGGTGCCCCAACTGTGAAAATAGGGTTGTACAACACAGTATTACATCTTCAGAGAAAAGACTGCGAACTGGACCCTGAGGCAGCGGGACAGTCGGGGTGTGGGGACTGGGACACGTGGCCCCCGGTGAGTGGCGGGAGCCCGTCAGGAGGATGGGGCTTGCCTGGAACCCCGCCTGCACCTGCACGCGGCTGTGTGAGAAAACCCGCCAGCGTCGCCCACACGGGGAGTTCACGGCACGGCAGGTGGGAGGTCGGCCTCCGGCCCTGCAGGGGGTCTCTCTCAGTGGAGTGCGCTCACCGAAGCGAAAGTAAAACAGCGGCCGGTTCCCCGCGGTGCTGGCCGCCCGCTCTCTGACCGCGGCTTCTCGGATGTCACACACCCCGATGTTGCCGGAGTGCAGCGCTCTTCCCGGGGCTCCTTCACTGTGCTGCAGTCTACACCGGACCACGGCAGCTCCGTTCGCTGCTGTAACAAGTTGAGAAAAACTAATTAATGCAAACTTTTGGTTTTTTTTTAAAATTTGTTACAGCACTGAGCAGAGCTGCCGCCCCCATGCAGAACAGCACAAAGAACACCAAAGGACCACGCGACACGGGGCCACCCTCAACGCCCAGCCAGCACGGCCAGCCGCATCCTCCGCATCCTCCGCGGCTCAACAGCATCTCCTGGGAACGCACAGACCTGCTTCCGTTTCACTTCTGTTTGGTCTGTCCCAGAAACTAAAAGCCCACAATGTCAGGAGCCTACTGTCCGCCCCGGCAGCCCTCCTCCAAGACATGGGGGCAGTCCCTGCAGGAAGGAATCACACGGACCCGCCACGGAGTCTGCCGTCAGCCTGGCAGTCCTGCTGGAAGACCGTCTGGTCATCTGCCCACATCTGCTCTAAAAGCCTTCCACACGTGGGTGTCCGCCAGCCAAAAATCGGACTCACTTTCAATTCACTGAATAGAACAGAGCTTCTTCCTTCCAGAAGCCAGACAACAGGGAAATCCAGCCCATCGGCTAAGGCCAACACAACAGGTCCACCTTCACATTAACTTTCTCAAATATCAAGCAAAGAAAGAAAAATACACAAAATCAAAACAAAACTACAAGCACAACAGAAACTCCACACACAAATTCACTTCCCTGGATTGTGAGCTGTGCGAACCACCCCTCACCGTGCTAATGGAACACTAGCTGGGGGTGTCACAGGAGGGCAGAGGGACAGAGTGGATCTGTGTGCCATGCGCACCTGCAGACGTAAACCTCTCTACCAGAAGCTCCTGAGCTGGGCTTGAAACAAATCGTTTCAACAGTGAAAACTATAGAGTTCAGGAAGCACCTGCAAAATTCAGGTTGCTTTCCTTTTTCGTTGAGGACTTGGGTCAGATTTAAGCCATTCCTAAAACCTAGCAGATTCTCAGGGTCACCTCCAATTGAACTATGCTTCAATCAGAACTAAAGGGCCACAACTCCAGCCTGGGAGCATGTTTTCTCCTGAAATGTGCAGAACGCAGGTCAAGTGCACAGAGATTCTACAAACCTGCACCCAGGAAACACTTGAATGAAACAGACTTTGTACTTCAGGGAAGAATCCACAGCATTTTATAATCACATTTCAGAACACAACCAACCTTTACCAAGTCATAGCCCCATGCGGGGTACTCTAGATTCTAGATCTGCCCTCTCATGACAGCAACAAAAACCTTGGGGTAATTTAAACTAGAGTCAATGGCAATAATTTTTAATTCACTAAACCAAAAGTCATGTTTACATCATAAGTGCTTTCGTATCTGTTTATAATAAGCATTTCAGAGTAATCGATGTATTCTTGCCTCCTGTAGATGAAATACCTATTAAATTAGGCACATTTACAGAAGAGTCCATGTGCCTCCTGCGTCCACAAAACATGTGCAATCACAGAGGAGTCCTGTGTGGCCAGTGCCACATCAGAAGTGTGACCTTTGTGCAGATTGGGCATGAGAAAGGGTTTGCACTCGCGGTTTCTCTTGCATGTTACACTGAACTCTTAAAATCAGATGCTTTATGTACTCATGGAGGGTACGTACTCGGAGGCTGGGGCAGGTAGGCTCCAATGAGTTTTGACCTCTTCTTTTCATACCCTTTTTGGGTGATGTCACCTGGAAGAGAAGGAAAGAGACATTCAGAATGGCCTCAGTGACGAGTGGGTCGCTCTTCAGATTCTAAGACACCGCAAGTTACATCTGTTGTGTCTTCTGTTTGCCTTTTAATTATAATTTAAAGAATAAAGGACCTTGTCATTCACCTTGGCCCTCCCCTGCCCTCAAATAGTTATTTAAGTTACATAAAAATCCTTGGTAGGCTCCTGCTTGTCCCAGCCCCTCCCTGCGAGGTCTCGGCTCCCACAGGACCCAGAATTAGTCTGTGATCTTGTTCACACCAGCAGAGCAGAAAGCCTTCCAGTCTGCATGGCTCTCACTAGCTTAGCCAAAGAGACACTGCAGGCATCAATGCTGGGGACAGCCACCCAAACCGTGCTGATCAGCATCTTCCTCCATGGACCAACCCAGCTGGGCAGTCCCAAGGACACCAAACTGCTCGGGTGTTTATGAAAATAAGTGACTCAGACCAAATGAAACATGAAATAAAGCAAGAGAATGTGGGAACTACAGAAATCTAAAGTATGTGAGCAAGGTGCTCATCCTTAAAGCAAAAATTGAAATGTTAAAGCCAGAGGTTCGCATGCAGAAAAGCAAGGGGTATACACGCTGACGTTTTCCCCAAGGGCTCAGTACCTAGGACAAAGCAACCCGTGGAACACACAACAGCCTTTTCTAATTTTAAGTGCTAATACACAAAATGCCGGTTTTGCCCTTGAATATTTTGTAGCATTTTTCCCCCCAATATTCTGATCAAATCATCATTCCCAGAAGAGCTAAACAGTCAAGTTTTAATAAAAATACAGATTGGTGAATTTGCTTTTTCTGATGACATTCGCTCACTAAATTTGAGCAAACCATAAAGCACCCTGAGTGTATGCTGACTGACTCGACAAACTCACAGCTCCCACTGTGAGTTGTGTGCACCCCATGAAACTCACACCTTGTTTTAAACAACAAAAGTCTGTGGAAAACGTTGTCCGCTATCAACCGGCAAGCAGCCTGATGCTATCAGCATGTCTACGGGCCACCGTGGATGAGCAACACTCACCGCATGGCCCTCCGGTGAACACGCACTACGGCTGGGCCCACACCCACCCTCAGCATCGAGGCTGCTCGGCTGCTTTTGGACGTGCTCCATCCAATCCCCCATTCTATTTGTTTATTTTTAAAGATTTTATTTATTTATTTGAGATAGAGCAAGAGAGAGAGAGAGCACGAACAAGAGGGAGGGTCAGAGAGAGAAGCAGATTCCCCGCTGAGCAGAGAGCCTGACATTGGGCTCGATCCCAGGACCCTGGGATCATGACCTGAGCCGAAGGCAGATGCTTAACCGACTGAGCCACCCAGGCGCCTCTCAAACTCCCCATTTTAAAAGGATGCCTAAAATCTCAATAACCAAAAACCCCATGTGCACACACACTCTGGAGCGTGTTTGCAATTTCAGGAAAAAGGACTAAGTTACTGAATTAGGACACTGGCTGAGAAGTGTTGGTCACGGGTCACACCTTCTGATTCCTGGCCACGACCAGTACACCTCTTGTCACGTTAAAGGCAAGAAAACATCTTTGAGGAAACAGCATAAAACCAATCTGCAGAAGAACCACCACCGGGATAGGGAAGTGCTGTGGCTAGTGGGGACCACACAGGGGTCAGAGGCGGACAGGCCCCCCAGGCTGCTTCACATCAGCCTGCCTGAGCACAGGGGACAGCGAAGCTCCCAGTCCTGCTCACAGTCAGAGAGGAACGTTCTGCCCTTAGAGGACACGGCAGTAGACAGCAGAGGCTTCTCCCAGCCCCGCGGACCCTGAGGAGCAGTTCCCTGTGGGCTCCCTGTCCCTCACTCCCCATGCTCCCCCCACAGCTCTCTGAGCACAGTGCCGGTGAGGAATCAGTTCATTTCCTGCTCCTTCATCCTCCACAGCGCATTTCCCCAATTCAGAGCCCATCTGCTCCCTGCAAGGGAGGGGCCAGGACATTAGGGACGGGCAGAGGGGCACACAGGTGAGGGCGGACCATGGGGCCACAGTGGTCCTGAGCGGCCCCCTTCCCTGGCCATCCCCCGGCCTCCCAGTGGCTCTGCACAATTCCAGGCCCAATCCCAGCCTGAGTAAACCAGCACCTTTCACGGTTTGCGCTGCACCCAAAATTCAGCTCATGTTTTAAAAATGTCTCAGATGGGGCACCTGGCTGGCTCAGTCAATAGATTATGCGACTCTTAGAGTTTGAGCCCCACGTTGGGCATAGAGATTACTTTGAATGAATGAATAAATAAGGAATAGAAATACATTTGCAGGAGCACCTGGGTGGCTCAGTTGGTGAAGCATCTGCCTTCAGTTCAGGTCATGATCCCGGGGTCCTGGGATCGAGCCTCGAGTCGGGCTCCCCTCTCAGGGGGGAGCCTGCTTCTTCCTCTCACTGTCCCTCTATGCGCTCTCTTGCTCTCTCCTCTCAAATAAAATCTTTTAAAAAGTCCCAGAAGAACACGTAAGTATGGGGGGAGGAGGTCCTCACTTAATTTTCGGCATAGGACAACCTCAAAGGAATATCAGTTTTTACTGTCTTACTTCGGGAAGCTCCAATTATTAAGACCTTAGGCCTCAGGAAAACAAGCCTTTTCCTGGTGAAACCAGGACTGTCCATGGAATTGGAAGAGGTCAGTGTCAGTCCCGCAAAGGCGCATCCACACAGTTCCCGGCCCTGCGCAAGTCCCCAGCCCCGCGCAGAAAGGGCTTGGCAGCGGGAGGAGTCCCTGCTTCCGAGCGGGTGAGTCATGTTGGTCCCACTATGAAACCATGCTCAGAAGCAACCGGCTCACAGGGGATTTCCAGATACCACTCTCAGAGACCCCAGGTTGCTAACAGCTCTTAAAACCCTTAAGTGTGGAAAGACAGACACTTTTTATTTGGTAACTTCATCTAAATCAGGGGTTGCCAACTACAAATGCAGCTTGCGGACTGTTTTTGCAAAGGAGGCTTGCCGGGCACGTAGCTGTGCTCCTTCGTGTGCACCACAACCCGGACCGCAGTGCCCACACAAGCTTCCCAGCCACTGTCCCACGACCCTGAATACCTTTAGTCCTTGTAACAACAGGTTTCACAGGTAAGAAACAGACACCTATTGTGCTCATTTTTCTCGCCCAGGGCCCCAGACCTACGAAGAAAACACACTCTGACCAAATCTCAAACGACTTCCCATCGAAGCCACACCTGGAACCTTGCGCCCCGCAGGTGTGGATGTGGTCGGTGACCCCACCACCTGCCCAGGACACGCCCCCCACGTCAGAGCCCTCCCAGCCTTGGCTCCAGCCGTGGCTGGGCTTTCCTCACGTGGCCTGGATGGCTGCTTACAGTCTCTGTCACATATTCGAGCGGCTTATCCTCAAACCCAGGGCATGAAGCCTTCACGGGCCAGCGTCCTGCAGAGCCGAGCCCCGGTCCCGCTGGTTCACAAGCTGCACTGTGCACGGATGTCACAGCGACTCCAGTAACCAGCTGCACGCAGTCTGCGTGCATCCGCAGGACAAACAGAGGGTCACTGGAGAGGACCCTCCATGACCCCATTATTAACGTGTCTGGGACACAGCTGGTGCGCGTGCTCCCCAAGAGGATCCAGTGCCTGTGGCAAGGGGCCAGGGTCATTCGGGCATCCCAAGCATCAGGGCTGAAAATGCCCTTGCTACTTTTCTCTTCCATGGAGAAAGTCCGTTATCTGTAACTCTGCAACTACTTGAGCATCTGGTAGACAGCAGTCCCATGGATTAGTGGTAACGACCTCTCTCTGCAAATTTATATAAGCAGACTTTCTAGCTGGGGGCTCTTCCATTTGGCCCTGGTTCTGAAGCATCCAGTGACGATTTCTGTGCAGGTAGGTTGAGAAAGAGTAGATCGATGATTGATACATGGAAGAAAGACGGATGGGCAGAAGGAAAAAGGGTGAAGGGACACACAGGATGGACCCAAGGGGCTGGCTTTACACACAACTTGCCCTCCTGGACCACTCCCGGGGCTCCACCCCAGGCTGACCTACATTCAACGCCACGATGTCACCATGACAACACAGCTTCTCCATCATCTTCCATCAGTTCAGGCTGAAGGATTGATGGGCGCCCCCTTCTCCTCCTCACCCTGGATCTGCAACGAGCACACAGCCTTCAGGGTAAAACTGTAAATCTGAGGCACAAGGCTGTCTGCGAGAGGAGCCATCCTCCCTGTCACGTGTCTAAGCAAGAGTTTATTTAACATCTGTGGTGCCCCAAGGACTGTCCCACAGCTGACAGCAGGTTGGTGAATGCTCGCTCACTGCAGAAGCGAAAGACCATGTTAGTCCAGGGACACCAACCACAGGACCCCGTGCTTGAGTATTCACCATGTACAACCCAAATGGTGTATTTCCATGCTTCTGAGCTCGAGACACCTGTCCACCTAACACCCTTTCATTTCAGGAGTAAGGACACAGGACAGAAAAGTGCAGAAATCATCTCTCCTCAGTGAGGAGAAAATAAAAGTGATCTTTTGAAATACTTTCCATTTTATCAAGAGTATTTAAATTATTATCCTTAAAGAAGTGCTTTAAGACTTAAAATTCAGCAGGAGAAATTAAAGTCATGTGTTCTGTTACAAAGAGAAAAGATTTGCAGACAAGTCTTAAATTTAAAATGAAAACCCAAGTAAAGCAAAACCACCAATACACAGCTGAGTAACACGGAGATCACTCTTCTCCTCTTCCCCAAAGGAAGCATCCTCTTACTCATACCGTAGCCCAGACTTCCAAGCAAACCCCAAGTCCTAGAAAAGGGAAGGTCAAGCAAATGCCAGACTGAAGTGGACACTGCAGGGCCCCCATCTGTCCAACCTGGCCTCACTCCAGAAACTCGGGCCCCCCAGGGATCTGTGCAGAGCCACCCGCCCTGTGATGCCTGACCGAGATGGGAAAGCGCGGACAGCCATGGGATCTCCAGGTGACCGGACGTGTCCCAGAGTGGACCGCATGCCACGAGCTACCTCCACGCTGGGATCATTCAGGGTAAACCGACCAGCCTAGCAGGATGCTTTCCATTCCTGGTGTCAGGACTATTTCTTCTTTTGAAGCTGGAACGAATGCTTTGTATAACAAAGCAATCATTCCCATGTTTGGAATTTCACGGCTGTCAGGAACCTTCCTAACATCCCTCTAAGCTGATGGCTTTATAAGGTATAGGAAGCACCCTGGAAGGCACTCTCCCTCTGGCCCGGCTGCTGAAGGCGTGTTAGCCGGCTCTGTGCTGAGCTCTTCTTCATGCAGAAAGAGACTGTGATGTCCATGCACGCACCCACCTGCTCAGGGAGTGGAAGCAGGTGGACCTGGGACCCTTCTGTCTGTGGCAACGTGGTCTCATTGCTACCACTCTTTTGGGCCCG